ATAACTGCACTCCTTTATTATCTGATGTACCCACTGTAGCTGTTCTCATTGCTGTGATCCTTTCTGGGATGTCTCTCTTTCACCCTTCCCTGGTGTGGCAGTTCAGCAGTAGACACCTAGGTAAGCAAATTCCTTTACACAATCATTGAGCCAACATTTCCACCACCCTCATGTAGAAACATCTATAGACCCCAAGGTGGCTGTAACAGTTCTTGTGAGCTTCTACCTGGACTTTTCTAGGTGGTTCTTTCATCACATAGGTTGCACCAAATAGAGCTAAAACTCCATACTGAAATGTGTGCTTTTAAAGAAACTGGAAGAAAATTGGTGACCAAAAAATATGCAGACTTAGAGGATCAAGTAGATCCAATAGTTTCCATGAGCATTCAGCACATAAGGTTCTTATAATTCTGAAGACAATGGCTTAGAAGTTGCAACAGAGCATGAGCAATATTATGGGAGGTCCAGGGAATATCAAACATGCATGTACAGAATGGAAAGATGATCTGAGAAGGGAACTCATAATGCTTTGATGGGAAGGAAGAAATTCTGACCTTATATATTGTTGATAAAAATAATTTTCCAGAACCTTCTAAAATTGTGTAAGACACATTCTTTAGCTGAGGATGACATGGTAGTGATAACATAAGCTATCCTTCTTTGTAACACATAAGCTTCATATTTTTATATTACTCTTCAACTTCACATGAAGTGCATGAGGGAATCAGAGCCAAGGTGACACCTCTGAGGCTTCCATGCCCACTTGTGGGGAATTTAAGGAACTTGTAAACTTTCTGGCAATTTGGAGGATTGTGCCTTGGAGTACCTCTTGAGGTTCCTGCATGTTGGAGTAGCAGGTAAATCAAAGCAGCACTGGGAATTTATTTACTCATCCCACTGTGGTGAGTGCCTCTAGGCCCTTCAAGGAAACCTACTGCAACATGGTTATTGACAGAGATAATTGTGTTTGTGTTTCCCATGTCAGGTGCCTGATGTAATATCCTGATGAGCCACTGTCTGTGCTTCCTGTCTGGCTTCCTGGGAGACAGACTCACCATCTATTGTCAGGCCAGCCAGGGGAGTAGTAGGCCTTTCCATTTGGTCCCAACACATACCATGGAAACTGCCTAAACTCCTCATCTATGACTGCAAATATGCAATCAGTAATCCCATGGAGTTGCAGGGACACTGGATCTAGGAAGGATTATTCTCTCATCATCAGCAGCCTGGAGCCCAAAGATTTTATAATATTTTACTGTTAACACAGCATCAGTTATCCTCCCACAGTGGCACTAACCATAATTTAAAACTTGCAGGGAATTGTAGGTGTGAGACTGGGCTGATGGAGCTCACTGTGCTTCCTCCTGCACCTGCTGAGAACATTTCTCAGGTGGAAGCAGGAGTTGAAGATCACTGGGAAGTTTTGGGAGAAGATATCAAGGAGACTTTTCTGCACTCTACCTTTCTTTGAATGCTTCAATTTCGTCACCATCATAACAGAGACAACAATCCTCTCCATATGTAACAAAGGACAGAGATCCTTAGAAGTGAGGAGTCTGGGTTAGGGCATCACTTTTAATTCATAGAGCAAAACAAAATCCACAGTACACATTCCAAGCACAGATTGTATTGTTAGTAGCAAGTGACATCTACACCATAGTCATTAAATAAGGGATGTAGTTTATGGTTTTAAATTCTCAGCCACAGTGTTTCTGCAATTGAAGGTATAGACTGCTAACCCTGTGGAACTCATTTAAGTCTGGAAAGTGCAGAGGTGGGATTCCAGGGCACTTAGCTCTCTATAGCACCTGACTGGTGATTTTCCAGTCCTCACCTGGGTCCAAACATCTGTCTGAAGGTGCAGTGTATAATTAATTCTTTACTTCTGAATTCCAAATTTCCCAGAAGTGTCCTTAAATGAGCAGTTGTTCAAGAAAATTAGAATAGAAAAGGGTTCTGAGAGATGTGATTCCAGAAGAGCTGGTGATGATGGAGAACTGAAAAGATGCAACCCAGTGTGGTCACTATTGACTGAGCCCTCAGCCATGTGCTGGAGAGGTGAAGGACACGTAATACACATGGATGTGCATTCAAATATCAGCAAGTGTGGGATCTCAGAAAGATTTCAGTAAGTCACACAGTAAAGAAAAAGAGGTTTAAAAAGCACAGGAGTCTCTCTACACACAATGAACAACTGTTAAAATAAATTTTAAATTTATACTTTGCCATAATATGCAGATGTTTTGCTGCTCAAATTTTGTCCAAAAGCTACTGGTATCTATTTAATGTGGCAGGTCATCATCAGAAAGTTGAAATAACTGTCTCTGTTTAACGTCAGTTGATGAGGATTTCCATACTAACAAGAAAACAGGTTTCTTTTACAATGTTAGGAAGTTCTTTCTAAAACTACAATTACTGAAGTCAAGGTGATCATGTTATTCATAATTTAATTTATTTTACATTTTTGTCTTATGTTATATGCAGAAAATCTATTCTCACACAGAACTTTATCACAAAACATCTCATTATCAAAAGTTAGATACAATCAAACTTATGATCATTTTCTTAGCTCGGACCATATATTCACCTCATTTATACTTCTCTAGTATAGTAAAAATTAACAAATAGGAAGCAAGTGAAATCCTCCCCTTTCTTCCAAGCTTCCATGTGAGCTTACCCCAAAGTCTCACATATACAGATCAACAAGATAAAGTATGTATTTTTGATCTAGGAAAAACTCAGGTGTTAGCAGTCCTCATCATGAAATACTTCATGACTCTTGTTAAAATTGGCACCAAATAATTATGGGGAATTATCTAGGAAATGAGAGAGCAGACACCTACCTACTTGGCAGGCACAACCTCTGTCTCCTTCTATGAGTGCCTTTTTGGTGGTCTATCATACCACCAAGCTCTCCTGCCTTCAAGTAGTGCAGATTAATGACCTCAAAGTTCTGGACCTATATATTTTCACTGAATTTAAATTCAGAAGTCAGGAGCATTATGTTCCTTGTAGATTCTCCAATGAATCTGATTTCCTGAGTTCCAGAATATTACCATGTTCCACATTCCATGGACCCATTCCACAGTCACTCTGATATCAACTTTCCATTGTCATGCCTTCTATGGTTGTGATTCTTCCATTCACTGTTAAGTGAACTCTTGAATTTGCATTGGGCTGATCAGGTTAATTTCTTCCACTCTCAAATTTCCTAGACTAGCAAGACTGACTAGTCCCTCCATTCTGATAAAAGTTGTGTATTTTTCATTTAGAGCAATGTATTCAGACTCCTATGTATCATCCTATCCAAATATCTTCTGAAAATTGAAGACTTAAATAAAATACCTGATACATTAAATCTAATACAAAAAAAACATAGAAGAAACTGAAATAGGCCATGATTTTCTGAAGAGGACCCAAATAATTCAGGAGACAAAAGCAAGACTAGACAAAAGTTATTACAACAAATTATGTTGTTGCTGCACAGTAGCAAGAAACGATGAGCAGAGTGAAGACACAATGTACAGAAGAACTGTGCCAGCTATCCGTCTGCAGGTTAATATCCAGAATACAGAGGAAAGCAAGAAATTGAGCAAAAGCACAAGTAATCTATTAAAAAATGGCAAATGATCTCAAGGGAAGAAATGTAAATGATTAGTACAATATATGAAAAATGTACATGCTTTGTCATCCGAAAAATGCAAATAAAAATATATTGATATTTCACTTCAAATCAGTAAGAATGCTGTTATCAAAAGCAAAATAAAAGTGCCTTTGATGACATCAAGTACTAGGAATCTTTATGGGATGTTACGTGGATATAAATTAGTAAATCTGTTATGGAAGATAGTGTGCAGGATCCTCAACAAACTATTAATAGAGCCACTGTAAGATCCAGCTGTACCACCTGAGTGTAAACCCAGAGGAAAGGAAGACAACACACAAGAGACATTCCTACATTCTCATATTTTTTGTGGTAATATTCGCCCCACTCACCGCTAAAGAGTCAGAGAGTACATAGCAGAGGGAAGCACCCAGGACCAGCCCATCATGGAAGGTGTGCTATGCTGGCCTCTCCCCAGGGCCTCCATCTTCACCTGCTCTCTAGAAAGCTGCAGGTTCCAGAAGAGCTGCACCTGGGTCCCCTGGGACATGCTGGCAGGGGTTGCACCTCAGGGAAGAGTCCCAGCAGGCAAACCCTTGGGAGGCTTTGTGGAAAGAATGGAGTTTAAGTGCCTGGCCTAATGCGTAGGTCATGCTTAACCTAATGGGGTTCCTATAACTGGAGGGGGAAAGAGAGGTTTTGGAGTGCTTACAGGTTTGACAGCACTGCTCAGCCTTGCATGATGATTAACTTTGAGAAATATTAAGAGATGGAGAAAAAGCAGATTGAACATGGTAGATGTAGCTCACCAAAGGAATACCTCTTTATTCCTATGCATCTACTATAGAATAGTTCACACTAAATAGAGAGTAACAATGGCCTAAGCCCATCACAAATGATTTTGTATAAATCTAAGGTGGTCCCAAGGAGTGCTCTATTTATTTAAAAAAATAATTTTGTAGCCACAGAAATGTCGTAAGTAGCGCATGACATATTTTCCTGGCTCTAACAGAAACATTTGCAAGCAAGTTGAAGCCAAAGTGGCCATAATTTATGATGTATTGTTTCTAAACAAGGGTATTCTACCCAGTCTTATTATATACATGAAATTATCTACCAATGTAAGCCTAGTTCCATTTTGCATGCTGACAATTTTCCCCACATGCTCTCTGTAATGAAGTTTCCCTTAGAAGTAACACATTTTGAGAAAGCAAACTCTGGGCTCTCCTGGTCTGATGTGGGCCACCTGGGGACCTGGGCCACTGCTGAATTACTGAGATGAGACAGCTCTGCAGCTGGGCCTCTCCTGGCTCAGCTCCTGCTGATTTGCATGTCCCCAGAGCACAGACTTTAATAGGCTGCACAGGGCCTGGGCAGGTGTCAGCCCTATTGAGGACACAGCATGGACATGAGGGCCCCCGCTCAGCTCCTGGGGCTCCTGCTGCTCTGGCTCCCAGGTAAAGTAGGACAGAGCTGTGTTGCACATTGGTGGTCTATGCTGACTCTTCAGGGAAACCTTCTGACCTGATTCATCTGACAGGTTTCTGTTTTTATGTTTCCCATGTCAGGCTCCAGATGTGACATCCAGATGACCCAGTCTCCATCCTCGCATTCTGCATCCGTAGGAGACACTGTCAGCATCAAGTGCAAGGCCAGTCAGAGCATAGGTAGTGCTTTAGCCTGGTATCAACAGAAACCAGGGAAAGCTCCTAAACTCCTGATCTATGCTGCAAGCAATTTGGGATCAGGGGTCCCACCGAGGTTCAGTGGCAGTGGATCTTTATTGGTGGTCTATGCTGACTCTTCAGGGAAACCTTCTGACCTGACTAATCTGACAGATTTCTGTTTTTATGTTTCCCATGTCAGGTTCCCGATGTGACATCCAGATGACCCAGTCTCCATCCTCGCATTCTGCATCCGTAGGAGACACAGTCAGCATCAAGTGCAAGGCCAGTCAGGGCATAGGTAGTTATTTAGCCTGGTATCAACAGAAACCAGGGAAAGCTCCTAAACTCCTGATCTATGCTGCAAGCAATTTGGGATCAGGGGTCCCACCGAGGTTCAGTGGCAGTGGATCTTGGACAGATTTCACTCTCACCATCAGCAGTGTGGAGGCTGAAGATGTTGGAACTTATTACTGTATGCAGGTTAGTAGTTACCCTCCCCGAGTGACACAAGCTATGACAAAAACCACCCTTGTATGCAGGCTAGTAGTTACCCTCCCACAGTGATACAAGCTATGACATAAACCACCCAGGGAAGCAGAAGTGTGAGCTTGCGCTGCCCCAGCTGCTCCTTCTGATGACTTCAGCTGCTGAGAGTATTACTAATTTACATGCATTATTTGAAGGACACTGGGTTCCCTAACTTTTTCTTCATGCTCTGCCCCACTTCCACAGACATTATCCTCCTGATTAAATGGCTTATATCAGTAAAACTAAAACACTCAGTTTTCAAGTGTCGGGTTTCTTGCTGCAAATAAGAAGTTACAGAGGAATTTCCAATTACACTTTATTTTAATGAAGTGATCTGGTATCATTAGGGCTGTGACACTTGTAAAAATTTATTCTACAGATAGGAAACTCTCTGGTCTTTCCCAGTAATCACTGAGTGTATCTGTTACTGAAAGTACTGGTCCCCAAACATGTGGTCCTCAGACTTGTCTTTGGAAGCTCATGTTTGGGCAGTACTGCCCACAGCTGCCTGTCTCAATAAATTTGTAGCTATTGGTGACTACTGAAACTTCCATTTCTGATTTCTACAATCATGGGAGGACTTTTAATTTAACAGCGCTGGATCATGAGGGCTTTGTTTGAAATTACAGCAATACTTCCATTCATAGATACTGCTATTTGCAAAAAAAGAGATTGGGAAAGTTCTGCTTCCTTTTGCGAATTCCCCATCAGGAGACAAACATGACCATGGCCACTTTCCCCACACAAACACGAAAACAAATATTTTACTCCAAATATTTAAAAGAAATGAAATTCATAAGTCAAAGCATCACCATTTACAACAAACCATCTAAGGAAAAGGGATTCTGAGAAACAAGCCTCACAACTGATGATGAGCTTGTAATGAAACAGTGACCCAGTATGGTCACTGTCACTCAAACTCTCAGATTTCTCCAGGTATAGGATGCAGCCCAATATAGGGCGTGTGCTTTCAAGTATTATTAGCAAGTCTGGTGTCACAGATAAAAACTTCATGAAAATGTATTGTGGGAAGCCAGCCATGGCCCACTGGCTTTTTGAAAGACAACATTTGTTCCTTTTTAAGGACTGCACGTGTTAAACTTGTTTTGACCCTGCACGGGAGAAACTCGGACAGCCCCGAGGGCCGGGCGAGGGGCGTGGGAGGCGGGCGAGGCGCGCTGGGACCGCTGTGCAGAGTGCGAGCATCCCGGGCTGCGTGGACCAGGTGTTGAGGCCCGTGTGAACTCTCGTTCCCGTGGAGCGGGTGTTGAGGCCCGTGTGAACCCTCGTTCCCGTGGAGCGGGTGTTGAGGCCCGTGTGAACCCTCGTTCCCGTGGAGCGGGTGTTGAGGTTACTATGGTGATCCTAGCCCATAATAGTTCGGCCTTTCCCTTTAAAAGGCTGGTGCTTGCCAGTAATAAACGTCGCCTTGATCAGACTCTTGTCTTGGCATCCTTCCTGTCTCTCTGCCCCATCTCCACCCCGCTGCTCTTTCAGGTTTGAGGCACTGCGGGACAGTGCTCTGCGTCGCCGGTTCGCGACAATGTATTGCAAAGAAAAATTGAGAAGTTACAGAATTTATTGAACACTACTGTTTTAATAAACAAATGGATACACTTATTTAAGATTCCTAATTTCAGTTGACATCTTCCTTTTCCTCAAGTTAAAAGCCTGCTTTTCAAAATCATTCCAGGATCCAGAAGTGTCATTTATACTGCAGGTTAAGTAGCAAGATTGCAGGCTGTATTTTACAGCTACTGATTAGGCCCTGCTAACAGGCTTTATTCATGGTTAGGAAGCTCTGTTTCAGGGGTATTTACTTTATCATGGAAAACATACTTTTAGACAGTCAAGTTCTCCTGTGTTCAATACTAAGGTGCAAAAATTCAATTTTCATAAAGAATATTTCAAAAATTTTCAACATGCCTCATTATCTTAGCAAAGAAAGCCAAACCAAAATAATTGTAATTTTCATACTTTGGATAACTGAATCCCAACCTTCAGTCCTTCTCATATACACCATCTGTGGTGTGTGAAAAATGTTAAAATGGGAGACATAGGCAGGTTCTATTTGAGAAAGGAATACAGGATCCCATGTTCAGAGAGTGAAATCCCATTACTCTTCTCTGTGGAGACAGCTCCTTCCCAGATGATGCAGGGCCAGCTTTGGCTGTGTCCTTTCTTCTGTCATGGTGTCTCAGTAACTTTTTGTCATTGTGATATGGTATGATAAACCCATGACTTTAAGGAGGCGACTTTTTTTTTAGGCTCATGTTTTAGGAGTTTCAGCCCAGAGTTGGCTGGTTCCAAGGCAGAAATGGCATGGGATGTGGCTCATAGACAACAGCTGCACAAATCGTTGTGCTCAGGGAGGAGAGAGAGAGAGAGAGTCCTAGGATATGGATTGTATGAACCCTCTTCATACTGAGCCTGACCTCCTAATGGGGGAGTCAGCTGCATTCCTAATAACACCACCATGAGCCATCCACTTCCAAGCACATGAGACTCTGGAGACAATTTTCAATGATGACATAACAGGGTCTGTAAAGAAGTGGGCTGATTAGAGATCATAGTTGGAGGAGAAAGAGAGGGAGCAACATGTTTAGTGTATGTATACACAAAAATAGTGCTTTAATGGCTGAGTTGACACAGTGATGATTAGCACACTCTCAAGTATTATTTCATGGGTGAAAAAAGCCTTTTCAGGTGTTAAATAAGAGTGTTTATATCATGTTAAGATTGTGCTGTGTATACCAGTTGTCCCCTCATGCAATTTCAGATGTCCTGAGAAGAGAAAGACTTTGAGAGATTTAATACACATTTGAACTGCAAGGTCTTCTCTGAATTATCATCTGCCTCAGTTCATCCCTAGGTACATGATGAGTGCAGCTCACATTTTGAAGTTTGTGAATGATGGATTCAATTGGGAAATAAATGATATGATAAATGGAGCATATGTCCAGAATTTTTACTAATTAAGGAATCAATGAAAACCAAGAACCCTGCATGATGCACCACTTCCCCATGAATCATGCACAGCGGTCTAAGCACATAAATTATCTCTCCTGAGGTGGAGGTTGGCTGTGCAGAGGTGATAGAAAGAGAGGAGTCTGCATTATCACCCCAATCTCTCAATCCTGAAGTAATAACAGAGAAGTGTGATATTAAGAACAAACATGGAAGCATTGTTCATGATTTTCTTGATTTTAAATTAATTAGTTCAGCTTATGACATTTGGTGTTTGTCAGTTTATCTGTATTTCCATTCAGAAAAGAGCAGAATTTGTAAGTGACATAGAAAATTTATACCACCCTCTCCTTCCTATTCAAAAGATCCAGCTGGAATCTCCTGCTCTGTCAGTTATTGGAAGAGTACTTGATTTATTTCTATTTTTCTACTATGTATGTAATGCTAAGGCTGTCGTCAGTGGCACAGGTATTAATGGCTTTTCGCTGAGATGCAGCTGAGGCACCCATGGGACACAGACCCCAGGTGCAAGTTGTTTTCCTGAATTCTCTACAATTTTCTTCTTACACAGATGCAGAAAACCTGCTGTGCTGCTTCCCAGACAAGCAACACATGGGTGCAGCTGGACCACACGAAGCAGCAGGTTTGTGTTCAGGAGTGCACCTCCCTGTGAGAGGGAGGAGCACACATAGATTATGGGAGTAATAAACTTTAACATCCTCAGAGGCCATGATGAAGATATTAAATGTGAAATCTGCCTCTGACTCACTGCCATTGAATCTGTCTGAGACTCTAGAGTTCCACTTTGATATCTTATGAATCTGGTGATAAGAATGGACTGGCTTGAAAACTGTTAAAATCACTTAATGGTGTCTCACTGCCATTGAATCTGTCTGAGACTCTAGAGTTCCACTTTGATATCTTATGAATCTGGTGATAAGAATGGACTGGCTTGTGGGAAAGCAAATGGGAATCGAAATATCTATTACCTGCAGGAGTCTCTGACTTGACCTGGAGGAGATGGTGTTCAGCTTTGCAGGAATGATGAACAGGGTGAGTGTAGTGTGAATCCTCACACTAACCCCGATGGATCCTTAGGTAATAACCAAGAAGTTTCAGTCATCCTAATAATTTTACTATTCTGGTTTGTTTCAGGCTTCATTAGTTTTGGTCTTTTGATTTGTAAGCCAACGGTATTCCAGTTTTTAGAGATTTGCAAGCCACGCAGTGCCCTTTAGAATCTCCCTATACAACATATCTCTACTTGACAGTTGTCACTAGAACCCAGGTTGTGGCTCATTCTGAAATCTTTCTCACATCCTGGGGGATGAGACTTGCACATCTGACATGTGCACAGAACATGCTCAGAAAGCTGTGGGTCCCCAGAGCTCCCTCTCCTTCCTCACTTCCTTCCTCTCTTCTCTCTGTTTACCAGGGCTCTAGAACATGAGCAACCCTGAGCTAGCAACTGAGCAGGGAACCTCACTGTGAGAAGCTGAACTGAGGAGATCTGAGCAGCTAAGGCAGGGAGGGACCTGAGCTTTTACCTCAGATGTACCAGGGAAGATTTTCCCTACAGCACACTACAAATTCCCTGCTTTAGTGACATAGGATAAGTCAATGCCAGGAGTACAGTCCTCTCATGTGAGCCAAGGAATAAGAAATGAGAGAAAGAATTAACTGTCCCTTCACAAGTGTTGATCATCAGAGTTTTCTATCACCAACATTATGGAGTGGAATTAGTCAAGTATTTCTAGCATCTGTTGTTACCAAGGTGACTGACAGGATGTTAGGAACAGGGTTAGAAATGATCTTTTCCCAGACTCAGTGATCAGGCTCCATAACAGTGTTAATTTCAAAAGTATTGTGAGGTGAAAAAATTTGTCTTTTTCTTCTAGAGAGAGCACTACATAGTAAACACGAACTTCTTGGTAACTATTTTTAAAACTGATACACTGTTGTGCTTATCTCTTTCTCTACACATGAGATTAACCAAACATTTCTTAGGAATTTGTTTGATCTCTTTGCCCAGAGTAAGCAAAGCATAATTTTATGTTCATGCTTTTCTTTTATTTTTCTTTTTTATTGAGGTTATTGGTACAATCCAGGTATACAATACAGTTGCATTCATTATTAGGATCCTGTACCTTTACATGATAGGTCTTGATTCTCATTTTTTCCCCTTGTCCCTGCCCTCCCTTCATCCTCTCCTCCCCTCCCCATTTACAAACACTTTATTTCCATTTTTTCAATTTCTCATATTTTTTCCTCTCCCTTATTACCTTTCCTCCACCCTTCCCATTTTCCTTACACCTTTAGCCCTTTACTTCCTATTTCACATTATTAATTGTCTCATTAGGATCCTGTGTACTATTATAGTTTTTCACACCAAAGAAACTATTCAGTATTTCAGTTAAAGAAATCTCTGTATGAACATTAAAAATAGGGAATCCTAAAATAAAACTAAAAAGGAAAGTAAAAGAGAAAAGGCAATGATGTAACATCAAAATAATCCTTAATTCTGGAGATGAAAATGGTCCCTGAACATATTTAAATTGCTTCTCTCTCTTATAGTCTTATCTTATTCTTTTTCATTATTTAGAGAATACTTTATTAGTTTCTGTAATCAAACCCACATAGATATGACCTTACATATTTAGTACGATGTGTTACCCCTGTACACATGGAAAAAAAATAAAATAAAATAAATTAACATTTCTAGACCAATATGGTTGTCCATTTCTGTACAATGCCAAGTCAAAATAGTAAATTGGGATGACTTTTTCCAAAGTTGGCAGCACCCTTAAAGTTTCCCAAAATTCAATTTATATATATATATATGTGGAAAAATTCTTCCCAAGTTTCCTCTTTCTTGCCATCAGTATTGGGCCACTACTCTCATGTGTCACAAACCAAAACAGATTCAATATATTAGAGGATCCAGAATGAGCTAAGTCTTGTAAAGTCTCAGTGTAACTTTAACCTAGGATTGATATCCTCCTGGCCTCCTGCAGAGATGGTCTTCACTGATGGTTTCTGTGGGAAAGGGTGCTGCTTCAGAGCTGCTGAGAAACATTCATTTTAGACTTCTTGCCTCCTAAGCTTTGACAAGTTAAACTTGTATTGTTTTCAGTCAACACATTTGTAATAACTTTTATGATACCCCAAGCAATCTAACACATCCACTCTATATGAAGCCACTTGCACATTGTGGTTTGTGGGAAAATTAGCAAGTAACTAGTTTTTAATTCAGAAATAAAAGGTTGTAGCATTTTA